ATGGTGCAAAACAGCGAATTCTGAATGGGCAGCCACCTGGATGCAAAGCCGTATATCCCGGAATTCTGGTGCCTTCCAATCCCATGATACACCCAGCGCATCACCTTTAATGCTCTAGCACACTGTCTAGCACAAACAACATCCTCCCTTCCTCCCGAGACCGTAGTCACCTGACTTCTCAAGTTCTCATCCACGCTTGGGGCCTCTCTGTGTCATCTGTTGCTGTTGCTTGCCAAATGGACGAGCTCTTGTTCTCTTTTAAGGTCATGTTGATTTATGGGTCATGCAACCGTACATGCAGCTGGCATTGAGGACCATTACACTATCTCACGTGTGCACTGCACGTTTTTGCTGCCATTGCATTCTGCTGTGTCCAAACATTTATTTCTGCAACCAATGACAAATGAGGTTTGCACTGCGTTGCTGCAATGGTGTTTTCAAACTCAGGTAATTTTCTTTAAAAGAAAATTCTTCTCAAGTAGTAAGGATAGCATTAACTTCAGTTGAAACTTCGTTATGTTTCCACCTCACCTAAGGCCGGTGCACACGGAAAGACACGCATCACAGAATGTTACCCTGACATTTAACTGTGAAACCATGCATAGAAAGCATACATAATTCACAGCCCAAAAAACTTATATACAATATAAACTACGAATTTTTGTGGTTCGATAGTGATATATCACTACGAGGTCGTGGTTCAATCCGACAGTGATGAGGGGCTTTACTGCCAGTCAACATGATCCTAAGCTATCTACCTGACAGTGAAGCCAAGTCCTCGGTGGCTCCAGCATACGTGTTCTGCAGTAGCGAACCTCCACAGTTTTCTAATAAATTATTTTTGTTAAGCTAAGTTGTATACATAACATAAAGAAATAAGGGAAATCTACTCTGGTACTCCCTTTCTAAAATCACCACCAATCCTAAAGCAGCGAATTAATTCAAAACAATAAAAATTATTATATTTAATTGTCAGCCCAGCTCACGTACGGCCCCACACTCGTGCAGCCCAGCCTAGCCCCATTTCAACCCACCGTGTCAACCCATTGCAACATGCACGGTGGCACAACGTCAGTGAGAACCCATTGCAACATACACCGTCCATGAATGAGTTCCGGCTTGCTGTCGTTTTCTTCTGGCGTGGAGTAAACAAACGGCCGTTCCTCACGCCACCACGCGTACCTACACTCCGATAACTGGGCAGCGGTGGGTCCATCTCGATGCTCAGGACTGGGCTGGGATGGGCCAGAACCTAAAATCTAATAAATTAATTTTGTTAATAATTCTGCTGCTCCGAGATTCATACGTACTAGGAAAGGAGTACTAGAGCAGTTCTGAATAAATACAGAGTTTCTAAATATCTTCCAGCAGTTTTTTGTCTTTGTTTTCTTCCACTTTTGTATGGTGGAGATGTTTGTTAAGATTCGTGCTCAGTCAGGTACAGTAATGTTTTCCTTTTGCTTTCTGTGCTGTGTGCCGTTGTATTTGTTTTCAATTATCCCGCTGCGTTTTGTGTCTAAAAAATATTATCCCGCTGCCTCATTTCAATTTGGGACTCGGTGTTCTCGTTGTTTTCGACGGTGGGCGTGGCCTTGCCGGTGGTGGCGGCCGCGTGCAGCCGGCTGTCGCAGCTGCCCGGTCCTCCCTGCTCCGCGCGCCTCGATGCACTCTCGAGCTGAGCTCTCCCTCCTGCGCCGCAGTGGTTCGTACTCCGCCCTCGTCTGTCGCTGTCGTTTGTGTTGTTTGCCGCGGTCACCCTCGTCACCGCCCCTCGTCTTCTTCTGTCCCTCCTTCCTCCTCTATCGCATCTGTCTCCCCCAAGACTGCGGTGGGCGTAGTGGGCGTCGATTGCGCGGCGAGTAGGCGGCGATGCGAGCGCGGGCGAGCGCATCGCGGAGCAGCGGCGCGGTGGTGGGCGGGAGCAGCGAGGCGACGAGGTGGAGCGAGGTGGTCTGCGCGTGCGCTCGGCGGCGCGCTGAGGTGACGGCGGCGTCGAGGGCCGTGACGGCGGCCGGTGTGAGGCACTGCCGCGCGGCGTGCACCGGCGTTGGCATGGCGTGGATTGGATTGGGATTAGATTTGTCTGGGCATGGTCGCCAAGTGTAAAAATGAGAGGAGTAGTTTATTGTTCGAGTTTCAGTGTTTCAGTGTTCTCTGATTTGTTTGTTCCTGATTTTGATGATTGCTATCAAACCTAGGAGGCATCTCCTTCAGAGTGGTTGGAGTGTTTTGTTGAAGCTCAGGTTAAGTTTAGTGTTTCCTATTTTTCAGTTTAAGTGTTGTAGATTTTTTTTTTCAGTTTTACTTGCCTCTTTTGCTGCTGGATTCGTGTGTCCTGCCTTTCCTTGCTAATGTTTTCGTAAATTTTGTGGCGGGAGTCGCTTGTTCTTCTTGTTGCGACAATGTTCTTTTCAGAGGCTAGCTTGGATTTCTAGGCGTAGATTCCAGTTCAATCGATGGAGTTTGTTTGGAGTCAAGTAAGAAACCTAGAACAGTATAAGTGGTACTTGATTGCATTTCATTTTACTGAAGCAAAGCTGTAGGTCGATCAACCTGGTGGATCTACAGCTCCCAACTAGACAGAGAAAAATCAAGGATTTGTGAAGATAAATTTCTTGTTGTTTTTTGTACTTATATAGTTGCCGAGGAATGATTTTGCTTCCTAAATTGTTTTTCTGTCAACATCTAAGAGCATCCTACTCATACGCTTTGCCGGAATATAATGAGCCATTTCCTCAGCATTAGACTGAACTTTGTTTAAGCTGTCAGGTTGTCTATAAAGGTTGTTATGCTACATAGTGGAACTTCATTACATCAAAATATAAAAATTCAGGGTCTCCTGTACTCCAAACCGATATGCATAATCAATTGGTTTTTACTTTTAGAAATAGGTAGAACCCTGCTTTTAAGAAAGCGTACTTTTTTGTTGAGTTCAATTTCAGAGTTCAGTTTGTCTATCAAACAACTATTTAGTTTTGCCATCAAACAAATCTTAACCTATTTTTAGTTAAAGTTCAGTTCAAGTCCAGCAGAATCATAAATTAAGCATTGAGGAGTTAGTTAAAATTATTATGAGCTGCTAGTTTTCCAAAGCAAACCTGATGACCAACACTACAGTATTGCATATGTAAAACTAAATTCAGTTTGTATGGTACTAGTAACACACGGCGGCCGTATGCTGTCTTCCAGAAAGTAGCAGCAAGCCAATACAGCTTGCATATGTAAAATTCAGTTTTTTTTTTCTTGAGTGTGTTCAGTATCTGTTATTTTGCCTGTATTCATTTTAAGTGTGTTCTCTGTCCGTCTTTGGTTCAAGTGGATCTGTAGTGTTTTGTTTTAGTTTAAGTGTGTTTTGAGTAGTGTTTTGTTTTCAGTTTGTTATTCGTCGATGAATCAAGGCTCAGCCCTTTGGGCTGAGGTGCACTAGAAACACTGGCGCGGCTTGGAGTGTACCAGCCCGTCTTCCATTCATTGTAGCCCAGAGAATCAATCTCATTTTATTTGACTGTTGTGCTTTCATTCTGTAGCTCAGCAATGTACCTTATAATGGCAAATTTACAAAAAAAAATAATAATATGATTACAGATGGATAACTACAAACCAAGCAAAAATTGTTTAACAGATGGCATGGAGGAGAGATAAGTTCAGCTGTTATGGCATTCTACAATTGTAGGAGTAACTTGTGCTCTATTATTCGAGTACACTATGAAACATTAGGACAAAATGGCATATGTACTTTTCAAACAGATAAGTGTTTTATTTTAGTAATGTGATTTTTGTTCTCCTCTGGGTGCTATATGTTATTAAAGAGTTTCCACTTCTGCTTGTATATATGAGACCTTGAGTGTTGGGTATTCAATTATTGGCTCAGTTTTGTGTGAGTTTCATTTTAGTTTCTTGAACCAGGCTTGCCCATTTAGCATTTTCAGAATTACATTTTACTTGTACACCTAATATCTAAATCTAAAAATATTTCAATTGAAATCTTCAGTGTTGTGCAGTTTAAGTGCAGTGCTACTTGTACCTGTGTGACCATGTGACAAATTGTCTTTCGGTTAATATCTAGTTCCTAGTTATTTTCCAGCAGCTTATTGTATATGTGTAAGTATGCTCAATTGTTTATTATATATAACATGGAAACAACACAGATTAGGTGATGCACATGGCACAACTAAGAGTCCTCCATGTATCAGACTCAGAGTCTAGTCCATTCAGTTCCCTGTCTAGATGGCCCAGCAGCTGTCAGCACCCAAAAAATTCTGAATTCTTTTTAAGACCGAATTCTTTTACTTGGTGGGTTTTAGATATTCTTGTCACATGGTCACATAGGAAAAAAATAGAGAACAATAAAAACCTGAGTGGCTTTGTGATTTTCTCCCTTGTTTCATGAATGGTGAAGCAGGTCGTATGTGGTTGGCCTGTACATAATTTGGACATTCTGAGTTTTAAACATCGCCATATTTTTTATAGCTAGGGCCATGTTATATGTTTTTTATCTCAAAGATGCAGATAATACATGGCCGCATTCGCCAGTTCAGTTTGTCCAGCAAGTTCAGGTTAAGTTCAGTGGAGCCTATTTTCTGTCCATCTGAATATTTAGGTTGGTGCTGTGGTTACTGTTAGCTTACTATAAAATTTACCTTAGCATGATTCTTCAGTGTTGATTCGTTGATTATCTTCTGCTGTCTTTTACGGTTGCAGTCTAGGCTGTTTTTGTTTATCCAAGTTTGGCAAATCTTGTGTTTAATCAACGCTGCCTTGTGTCTTTTTGAGCTGTAGCTTCTCAGTTTCATTTTTGGCCTGCGAGCTGTTTTTGTTTTAGTAGTACTACTGCCCTTATTATTCTTATTTCAGAATCACTATTTTTTCACATTTTGTAATGTTTTTTATTCTGAATCAGATGGCTACAAAAAGGAAGAACCTTGTGGACCATGGTGGTAATTCATTTTCTGTTCGAGTAGGGCAGCATAACAACTTTTTTAGGTTTGAAGATTTTCAAGATGATGAGAGTGTAAGTATATCATTTTGTAGTTAGTTTTTGTTATGTTAATTCTTATTATTATTTTGTTTGGCTTTATTTTTCAGGTTGTTTTCTCATTTAGAAATGATGCAAAAGTTTATTAACTTTTGTAAGGAGAAGGTATGTTAGTTTTGCTTTTCAATTCATATCTACTTGCAGTTTTTTTTTTTTTTGACTTTTCTTTTAGAAAGTAAAATATGTCCAGGAGCTCCCTGATAAAACCAAACTCAACCTGCATGAAGAGAATGAGGTTTGTTTTTGTGTTTTTTCTGTATGGTTTTATATGTGGTTTTTTTATATTGCTTTGTTTAAAATTACTTGGAGTCCTTCAAAAGAAATGCATTCAAGGAGAAACTTACAACATATTTTGGAGAGCATTTGCCTTCTGATGTAAGTTTTTTTTTTGTTCATTTCAATTTACCTATTGTCATCTTCTTTTATTTTGTTGTTAAGTTTATTATATTTTGTATTAGGTTGTTGATGAGTTATGTAACCTTGTTCAAGAGAAATTCATATGGGAAATGCCATTACTGTAGTATGCCAACAGAAAGCTTAGTGCTCAGTGTTCTACAGATCCTTCATGATGCATCTCAAAACCTGGGGAAGAAAACCCACGGTTCTCAAGTAGCACATACTACCCATCCTTGCCGTAACGCACCTGTTTGCAACAACCATGATGCTAACATTAATTACATCAATAAAAAAGCCCCACCAGCTTCGGCCATGTATAGAATTTTTATGTTCAATATGTTTTCCAATTATGCTTTCTTTGGATTTTTTGGGTTGCTGTCATCAATAAGCATTTTGCAATTTTTATTTTTTTCATTTTTTCAGACATAGTTCATGAGAAGTCCCCAAGCACCAATGGCGATAATGGAAAGCATGTTGCATCAGATAAAGGTCGCCATCATTATGAAGATGTGCGTATTTCTGGTTTTTTCTTTCTAGTTTTACTTTTAAGTTATATTTGTTTTATATTCAATCTTTAATTCATGTGAATCTATTGTGTTCATTTTTTTGGTAGAAAATATACAATGGAATTGAAGCTACCTAAAAGCTTATCGAACCAAATCAAGGCTAATCCTGTTCCTATTCTGGACACGCCTGTCTTCTTGTTTGGGAGGGAGTTTAGTAGAAATACATCTGTATCATCGTAGCAAGGTAGTGTATTCTTGTGTTCTTCATATCAAATTTGTATTTTCAATTATTAGTTTCTAGTATTTCTATTTACTGTTTTTTTAGTTCCAGCAATGCCCATGAATCTCAAATCAAAGCCTAATCGTTTCATTAGCGAACTTCATGTACCTGCAGTTCCATCGTTACAAGCTCCAATTGCAAAACCTATCAAAGATGTAAGTTCTGTATAATTAGGCGGGATCTTTTGTGATATGTTTAATTAAGTTTTTGCTCATGGTCGAAATTATATTTCTTTATTTTTAGGATTTTACTGTATGGTTTGGTGTCAGGTTTCACCTGAATGCTGTATTTTAAAGGAAACAAAATCCAAAGGTTGCTTGGACTTGGGAAAATTAGCTGACCAACTGTATAACCAAAAGAATGTGAACATCGTGAAGACCAAGAACATCACTCATGCAGTTGAAGGTGAATTGTTTCTATTATTGTTTAGTATAGTCTATTTTCAGTTATTGTTCTGTTTGATTTCAGGTTTAGTTTAGTAAAGTGTTTGCTTATATGGCACTCCTATTTCAGAACTTTCTAAGCTGTTGTTGGTATAGTCAGGTTTCAGAACTCCAGTAGAATATATTTTCATTTTAAGTACAGGTTCAGCTTTGTATAATCTAGGTTCATTTTAGTTTCTAGTTTACTCGTTTTATGTTTGTTAAGTTCTCAGTATGTGTTCAGGTTTCAGAGTACATAGACTTTATTTTCATTTTAAGTTCATGTTCATTTTTGGTGAATCTAGGTTCAGTTAAGTTAAGTTTATTATATTTTTTATTAGGTTTTTGATGGGTTATGTAACCTTGTTTAATCTAGGTTCAGTTAAGTTATCAGTTCAGTTTTTATTTTACTCGTTTTATTTCAGTTTAGTTTTCAGTTTGAGTTCAGGTTTCAGAGTATATAGACCTTATTTTCAGGTTCAGTATACTTATTAGTTCAGTTTTTAGTTAACTCTAGTGTTTTTTAGTCAAGTTTTTTAGTTCTAGTTCAGTTGACATCATTATGTCATCTTAATTATATATTCAGTATAAGGTTTAGTTCAGTTTCAGTTTTGTAGAATCTAGGTTTTGTTTAGGTTGAGTTTTGTAGAATCTAGGATTCGTCTTCAGTCTAGTAACCTGCATTAGAGTTTCATTGAACTGCAATAGAGTTTGAATGTTTAGTATTTCAGTTACATCGTGTTGTATAGCTGTGTCTTTTCATTTTCCCTTACGTTTTTTTTTGTGCAGATCATAGTCATCTTCATCAATTTTAATCTTCTCATCGGTTCAATGTGTCTGCAAATGAGATGCGCTATGATAAAGTACTTTGTGGCCTTGCTAAAAGTCAATGGAGCAGGTACATATTCCATTTGTTTTTTGAATCTTAATTTTTTGTCTTTTTGTCATGTAGTTTTTCATGTGTTTCGTTTTGTTTTATGTAGCCTTGAGGGTGTTAAGCTATTTAGACTAGTGTTACATATAATTCTTTGGGTGAATCAATTGAGCCTTTCGGTCATGTTGATAATTTTTTCATTGCTGGATATTGTTGTAAGCTCTTTGATGATAGTCACCCGAGGCAATCAAGGAAGCACTTTTTCTACCCTAGGATTGGTGTAAGTATAGTAACCATGTATTTATTTAGCCCCTTTGTTTGTTGTATCTATTCTAATTATCTATTTTTTAGGGGAGTTTGTTGTCATATAGACCTGTCTTTGAAGCCAATACTGTAAAGGATTCTTTTCTTGGTGCTAATTCAGCGTTAAAGCTTCATTTAGCTGATAAAGTAAGATATTATTTTTTGTTGCTTGCAAATATACTTTTCTGTTCAGTCTTCTATATGTGTTAATGCATTTCTTTGGTTATTCTTTTATGATGTTTTCTGTTTTTGCAGCTTTGTTTTCCTATCTTCCACGCACACGTAAAGCATTGGTTTGTTTTCATTGTGGATTTGAGGCTGAGCAAATTTGTTTTTCTGGACTCTATGTTTGGTGAGAATGATAGCCTTCAAATTCACACAAGGGCTAGTATTGTAAGTATCTTCCAGCTCCATATAATTCTATTCTGGATTATTTTTAGGTTGCATTTGCCATGTAGAGCAACATCTATCTTTTGCAGATTCCAGCGTTCAAGGAGTGTTGGTATGAACACGCTGAAGTAAAGTTAGACCTGGAGGATTTTTCAGTTTTGTACCCTCCTGTCCCTAAACAGAACAACATGTAAGTTTAATCTATTCAATTTTTTTGTTCTTATTATTAAGCTGCACCGATTAATATTGTTTTTTCTATCAGACATGATTGTGGCATATTTGCTATTATGTTCATGGAGTTATGGGATAACAGCGTCGATCTTAGGCGTGTTTTTGATCAGTCCGATATCCCCAATATAAGAGTCAAGGTTAGGAATGCACTTTTTTCAGCAAGAAGAATGCTGTCGACAAAACACTAGTACAGAATTTATTCGACCAGGTTAGCTTAAGGTCCTTTTTCGTTTGTCTTATCTCCATTTTTTCCATTTTTGTATTTGATACATTTTTCATCTTCAATACTACAGGGCACAACTCTGTACCCGCGCCCGTGCCCGCGGGCACAGATTCGCGCCCGTATCCTCGCCCACCGGTTCGGGTGCCCGCGGGTATGCGGATTTTTTCTGCCCGCGGGTATACTAGAGGAACCTCGAATAGTGGGTCGTAGTTACAAACTGTGTAGAATTTACCTATATAGATATACATAAGTTTTAGAGTTTTAGAAAATAATCAGCAGCTGTCAATACATTTCGTATAGATGATCTTTTATGTATTTTTTTGCTAGGAGATGAGTGTGGTGATGTGTCTGCTTTTGCAAAACATGCTGATCTCTGAAGCTTTAATGATCATATAAGTTTTTAGCACTTTGTATATAAGTTTATTCAAGTGCATTACTAATTTGTCTCAAAGGGTCTTCCACACGTGGCACGTGTTTATAAAAATATTATATGTTTTGAAAAGTTAGAGATGTTTTATATCAACTAAAAGGATAAAATTGGTAAATAGTTGCTCTACAGTACAAATTAAATACACTAATTTATTGAGTTGAACATATCCATCAGTAACTATATCTCATGCTAACAAGCCTCCAAGGGTATCAGATCTGAATTCATGAAAGCCATCATACCAACAAGGTTAGGATGTGCTCCATATCCAGAAGGTCATCATACAAAAGGACCAAGGTCCATTGCTCTGCTCTCTAGGTTTCGAGCCTCAAGTAAATTCTGCATGTGTCAATTGTCAAATGAGAAGAATGCAATGTCAATATGTGCTTCCATGATATATCATGATTCATGAATGAATTTAATTTTTTTTATCACGAGGAATTTATCTAGTCCACACTGAACCAATCTAACCACATATATACATTCTCAAAAAAACTGAACTGCTTGTCTTCGTCCTATCTTTGCCCCGTAAAATGAGCTGAGCTTCATATGTAATGTAAGACTGAACCTGGATTGCACAGGGCCATACCCAAGATACAGACAACATGTCAGTAACAATATCATTATACTGAGCATAATAATTTATTCAATATTTTGAACTCTCTAGGTGATTACTATTTTCATAGTTGCTATGGCATCTGTTTGCGCTCAACATCTATCAATGTCAACAGTTGACTCATCCTGAAGAGTTTGCAAATGTAAACCATGTCAACAATACTACTGCTTCTTGCATCAATAATCTTTTTACAAGAGCAACGCCATCCCAAGGTTCCATAAGTGTATTAAACAATCACTGCATAAGAGGCTATGACAATCACTGCATAAATAGCATAAGAGCTTTCAGTTTTTGTTGCATGACAAACAAACACTAACCAGATCATGCGTGTGAACCACGACAGATTGCTACCTGAAAATCTCATAAATTTTTTCTTTGTTATGCTTGCTCTCCAAAAACCTTTTTTTTTTTTCCAAATGAAGCCATTTAAATAATCACAGTGCATGCAAAATAGCATAAAGGTTTCAGTTTTCCCAATGTTGCATAGCAAACAAACACTAACCAGATCGTGCATGTGGACCGAAACCATTCCCCCAAATGAAGCCATTTCAATAATTGCAGTCATGCAAATATAATATTGATGTATATTGATTTGAGAGAAGATAACCCAAACATTTGCAGAGAACACACCAATCGATCTGCTGTGATTTCATCATCCTTGTGAATCTGATGGCTTTCCTCTGACACGTTGCCATCCTGGCACCATTATTCAGAAGGTTTTTCAGAGAGATAAGGTCACTACAACGACAGAACACACACTGGTAATACCCCAATGAAATAAGTATGCATACAGAGCAGAAGCACTAACCAATGTATCGGATCCAATATCCGTGTTCTGCCTGCACTCAAGTTTTCATCGGACTGATTAAGCTTCTGCACCAATGAGCTACCCTGAACCTATAAATTTGAACAGATTTTGCATGTAAAATTTCACCTCAAAAGGGAAGAATCCAAGAACTCACTTTCCATCAATGAATGCGATAGATGACAACTCACCTCCCCATCCTCGACAACTTTGCCATCCAAACCCTCTTCTTTCCTGCAAATAATTCTTTTCAGCTCCAACGCCCAGGAAACTTTACAGATCATATTCAATTTAATAAATTATAATCGATAAAACTTAACACATTTCAAAGCGGATCTGCACAGATGTGAGACGTACTGTAAGATCGAAGCCCTCTAATATAGCTATCAGCGGGGGGGTTGAATGATAGCACAAACCGCAGCGGAAAATATTTTCACCCAAAAACAGATTCTGTATGCTCCACTAAATCGTGTGTAAATTCTAGACAGTCACTCCTAAAACGTGAACTTTTACCAAAAAAAAAACTTGTGAAATTACGAAGCTAACCCAACTGGAATCACGAATCACGTCAATCGGAGGTCTAGAACTCGAGATATAAATAAAACAAGTAGACAACATCGGATGGTGTCGCGAATTAGCCAAACCCTAATTTCGAGATTAAACAAAAACTAATTAGGGCTAACCAACCAACATGAAACCCTAGCACGATTTTGGATAGATCAAAACAAGTCTAATCATGATGAGTAAGAAATCAATCTAGATCCAAAACCGTAAACATGAACGTATGAGCAAAGCAATGAGCGGAGAGGAGAACGAGATTACCAACACATCAACTTACTCAACTTGATCTTTATTCCATTAAAGATGTGTTCAAGAGATGCTTACACAAGCATCCATACAAAATCTCCACGAGATCCCAAAACCCTAGATGAGTCTAGGAAAAACAGAAAAGGCGCAGCCTTCTCGCCCGTTGTTCTGCAGTCTCTCGCACACACGACCTCAAAGCGTCGGTCTTCTTTTATTGGCCGGCTCCAACTCCTGCAGCCGGGCCCACTTCTTTTCTATTCCTGCGCTGCACCTCTGCAGCCGTTCCTTTCCTGTCCCACCTGACCAAATCCTGGTCAAAACGAAAGGCCACCGGCACATATCTCGTACATACTTGCATGCAAAGCCAATCCAAGTCCGACTGGGCTTACACTGAACCAGCACCCACATGCATCCACGTCCAACGCTCGCATGCCATGGTGCACACCACCTGCTTCGCCTCCGTACGCAGTTCCAACACAGCTATGAACTCGCATAGCTCACGTCACCGAGCCTGCCTTGGCTCGTGTCTCCTCCGCACGTCTAGACGGCCCGCACACCACGAGCGATGACATGCTGTACATCCGGCGGCTACACCGCCGAGTCCCGTCCAAACCGCTGGTAATCACGGTTAGACCAACACATATCCGTCGATGCCGAGACACATGCTTGTGCATCGACAAGTCCTCACGTGCACCGTTCTCTAGCCCGAACGTCTCGCGTGACATCCTTGACCAATAGAACCTCAGTTCCTCCCTGAACTTAGTTCCAGTCCGTCACCGACCACGTTCCGCCTCAAGCAACACCTACACATGAACAGACACGCAACCGCGTACGAGCACAAGTCCACGACTTGACTCAAGATCAGTCCATGCAACACCACTCACACCAGTGTGTTACATCCAAACCAAAACCATCCACACTACCACGAGTGTATCATCACCCTATGTCAATTATGCTAATCACTTTGCAATGCCAATTTCAATATAAACCAATGTTTCATCACACATGATCTCACAATCTCCCCCTTGATGAAAACATTGGCAACACCATAAAAACATTGAACATTGGCATACACTTCCAAAAGTATTTTTTAATCAAAAGCAAAGTGAAAAGATCATCACAAAAGATCCATAAAAAAACTCTCCCCCTTTCTTCCAAAGCAAAATCTCCCCCTGTGAGAAACCAAAGAAGAAAGCAAAGAAAGCCAAAGAAAATCCCTCATATGTGCAATGTGAAAAACCCTCCCCCTTTGACAATGAATTCATCAAGAACACAAAGAGAAGAGAACAAATCTTTTTTTTACTTTTCTGGTTTTGTCATTTTTTTAATACTAATGAGCATCACAAATCATCCATGTATGTAGCAAATACTCGTCCAAGCCATGCTAGAAAATAGTTGCACCTTCACAGCCATACATATACAATGCAATTTCAGCACAACTAAAAAACAAGTGCAATTAACAATTTATTTGCATGACATGATCTCCCTTTCTCAACTACCTTAATACTTGAAAATTTTGTGCACTTTATTGATGCTTAAAAAACTGATTTGTTTTATTGATTGCAGCAAAAATAAATTGCAAGGAATTATATGCACCATCAACCTTACTTTCAACCTAGTCAAGCCTATGTCATTTGACAATCAAAAGCTTAAGAACCAGGTTTCGGTCATACACAACTTCTTCCAAGTTCATATCAGAGTGCAATGATAAGCCATCTCGTTAAGAAGAAGTGCGACAATGCATATTTCCTTGATCGTTCTCAGGTCATTTGTTTCATCAAATATAACTTTCATAATTCAGAATTAGCAATGTTAGAAACAAGATCAAAGTAGTCAAGAAAATTCAATCATGACAAGATTTAATTCAAGTTTTCTTTCCATTTAAATAGCCATGACAAAACTACATCATACATGCATAGATATAAAGTTGCAAGCACTTTATAGCAACACATGGCTTCAAATGTCATACATGAATAAATTATAATGCTCATTGTATATTCATTATTTTTTTTTGTGTGTGAAGCAAAAATATTTACAGTATTTTACAAAGAATTCAAAACTCCCCCTCAAGACAGCCCCATTGGATGGATAACCCCAAGTTCTCCCCGAAGATAAGCAAAACGAGAAGAATCCAAAGGTTTTGTGAAAATGTCTGCCAATTGATGTTCAGTATCCACATGGTGAAGTGCCACATTCCCTTTTTCAACATGATCTCTAAGAAAGTGAAATCTAATATCGATATGCTTTGTTCTGGAATGTTGCACATGATTCTTAGCAATACAAATAGCACTAGTGTTGTCACAGAAAAGTGGAACATTCTCCAAAGTAACCCCATAATCTTTAAGTGTAGCTACTATCCAAAGAATTTGAGAACAACAACTAGCAGCAGCCACGGACGGAGCACAGTGGGGGCCAAGCTGGGCTCCGGCCCCCCCTTGTCCAAAGCAAAATTCTCAAATATAGTTTATGGTCACTTGTATTTTGTGAAATGTGACACAACTATAAATATATATAACTAGCTAGTTTTAGTCCATAACTTGGTTAAAAGTAGTCTGACAGTCTCTGTAGTCATTTGATATGTGATTAGTTAAATTTATCATAGTATATATGGTTTTATTTCTGATGTCAACATATTTCACTTATATTTTTATCAAGTTGGCCCCCCCTTGATTTTGTGCCGTGCTCCGTCGCTGGCAGCAGCCACATATTTAGATTCAGCAGT